TATGCATGGCATATGCAATTTGGCACCAGGGGGGAGACGCCCCTGAAGCCCCTTCAGAGTATACACGGGGACAAGCCTAACCTCCATTGAAGAAGGGGGCATGTTACAGCATGTTCTGCAATGTTCTACAGATGTTCTGCAGACTTGCCCGTTCAAGGCCGCGGGTGCCCTGGTGAAGCCGAGGGCCACGTAGCCAAGGTGGGGGGGGGCCTTGGGGGGCAGTTCCAAAGCCCCAAAAGGCTTTCAAAGAGTTTAGACGGGTGCCCATTATGAAGTTCGAAGGCATCGTCGCAGTTCGATCGCTTCTTTCAACATGGCCAGCACACGGCTGCGTGGCTGCTCTTAGCAAGTCTTGTAGCCTGCTCACCTGCTCCCTAGAGAAGCACTTGTCGAATGATGCAAGTCCCCGGTCGCTGTGGAACCTCTTGATGCGAGCCCGCAATCTTGCGCGCTTGCCCTTCTTTTTTTTTGTTGGTGTGTGGTTGTGTGTGCTTTAAAGAGTTCCTTCTCCCACTCCGCCCATCTGCGCCCCTGCTTGTCTCCAAGTGTGCTCAGAGAAGCATCTAGCACCGTTAACGGCCCTGAACAGACGTGTCCGAAGTGGCACCCGTTTGAGTTCCGATGAGACACAGGCCTAAGGTGCGGTAAGGCACAAGCTCGCACATGCTGTCGTTGCATCCCAGGATCGGTTCTACATTTCGGTCGTCAAGGCCTGTGGGAAATAAAGGTGTTGACACGCAAATGTTAGCCAGCGGAAGGTCCGGAATGACATAGAGAATCATAGAGAGGATTAGTGTCCATGATTGCTATATGGTATCTTTGTCCCCCCACTGCTTCGAAACTGCCATGCACACGCATGCCAAGGTGGCAAGCCAAGAGTAGCAGCTCCGACGAGTGGCCACCGCGGACCGAAAAAGTTGAGAAGCACGCGACACTGAGCGCGAGAAGGTGTAGCGAAGCATGTGCCAGTGTGAGCCAGGGATCAGGTCAAGGCTCGGAATATCCGGTCCTGGTCAGTACTTGAGGCTTGGAAAGAGACGCGAGAAGCAGAAGCAAGAGATGATGGAGGCCTAGAGATTTCAAGAGTCTCAAAACGCGATCCCCGGAAGTTGCTGATGCCACACCGAACATCCTCAACACGGTACCTTGCAGCCTTTGAGACTGGTCAGACTCTGATTCAGGATGATCACAACTCCTAAACTCTTCGAAGACTTGTCCACAATCCTGGAATCTTGGGCCCGAAGACGACTGCAACAATACAAAGTCCTCGGCCTGAAGTGAGAGTGTGTGTTTGTGCATGCATCAGGTTGACTGAGACCCTTTTTTCGGTTCCTTATAGATGATTGAAGCTGCTCCGAGCCAAGTGGGAGCGGAGGCGACCCTCGCAGCCTTCCGTCGCAAGAGCATGCAGGAAGAAAGGAGGCGCTTCAAAGCGGTTTGAGGGTCAGGGGTTCTGTTTGGCATTCCTTTCTCCTTCCTGCCGGTCTCTCTATCATGTGTCACACTCGCACTTGTACGTAGGCATGCTCGGCTTGTGTATCAATGTACCACACCCCCCCCCCCCTCCGCGCGCGGGGACCTTCAGGAACAGCCTCGCCGGCACGAGCCTCTCTGCGGCAGCGGCGATGTCGCCAATGTCGCACAAAAACGGGTGGGCCATCAGTCTCTCAGGGTTTAAGCTTCTGAGATGTCCAGACCTGGTTTCGGTTCAAGGCTCAGGCTTCGAGAGATAGGTTGCTGGAGTGTAAGAAGAGCTCACATCCGGGTAGACATGTTATGAGCCCTCTGATGTATTTCCTGTGGATGAGGCTGCCATCAGCTGTCAAGCGCCCTGCAGGAGAGAGCCTGACAACAAAAATTGTAAGCAGCCGGCATACTTCTGGCAAGCCAGGTGATCCGGGCTCGCGGCTCATGCCCCGATTCGTGAGTCAGATGAGTTTCACCATGCATTCATGGAATCATGCACGTCGGGGCTTGATATAGGTTCGTTTTGTCATGAAGGCTTGCATCAATGGGAGCAATGTGCCGAAGAGACTTCCTTCTGTCACTTCCCTGTGTGGACCCTCTTTCTCGTAGCCCTCTCACGATAATGCGCATCTATTAGTCTACCAGCCCGCACCACTCCCAAGGAGAGTGCAGGAGCCGGGGCCGATTGTCTCACAGCAGTGTGAGAGATTAGGACATGGGTCATGCACGGGAAACACTCAAAGAGTTTGACCAATCATAGCAAAGGAGCCGAGTCTCCATTGTCTCGGCGGCGCATTGAAGATCTTGTTATTCTCTGGTATTGGTTGTTTTGCACAGCAGCAGGCGTCGTCCTTGAATAGTTGCACTTTGCGTTCTAGCCCTCGTTTGTTACAACTCATGCACTATGCCAGTGCAACAGTGTGTTGAAACTCCAGTGCCGACTATTTGTGCATGACACGTTTGACTCTGTGCTGGTGATGGGGCGACCCGCAGCCATTCTGATGTATTGGGGCGCATGATCAGCGGCTCTATCGGCGTTAGCAAGTCTGGCTCGGCACGGTAGCTACATGAAACTCTAAGGCCGGCCTGGTGCTTTACAGGCACAAAAGCGTGACGATCCTCTCAGAGTTCTTGTCACACCACAGAACTCTTCACAATGAACTTGGTTAAACGGTCCATTAGATAGTTGGGCGACAGTGGATGGCCGCAGCCCTGCAGGAGAGTTTTCACGGGGCCGCCCTGAAGTCTACTTGCGGCAGATCGTCGAGGGTATGGATCCTGTAAGCCCCAAATTGCATCAGTTTTGCATGGCTTCAATCTGCAACGGGAGCTCATGATGTGTGATTTTCGGACGACATTTAGCTACACGTGCCCAAGAAGAGCACCGATAGTGATCATAAGACATATATGTATATATGCCTGACAGCCTGACACTGACCCCTGGCCGCTCCCAAAACTCCCAGGACCTGCTGAGCTTGTCGCTTGGCCGCCCCACGCTGGTTGGCGGCTTGGGCTCAGGGCTTGTTTTCTTGTCCCTGAGTTGATTGGGAGCTTGTGGGGTGGCCGGGGGGGGGGGGGGGGCAGGGGCCCAAAGCCAGCAGGGACAGTGTACAGCGTCACAGCCACGCGACATCAGTCTGATGCCAGGATGATAGTACAAACGACGGCGCCTTGCGATAGTCGTATGAAGTTTCAGTATCAGTCCGGGCTGATCCATTTTGACTGTTTATCTTGTAGTGCGGTGGGGGCTTGACTATGGTACGTTTAAGTTTCCATTTGGGCGAGCCATTCGGAGCTCGAAATGAGGTCGTGTCTGGCCCCATTGTGGCGCATCGTTTGCCGAACGCAGGCGAAGTGGTACAGGGCCAAGTATGTTTGAATAGTTTCACGGGCAGGTTCTCAGCTGCAACTATCTGCGCGGAGCCGGGGTGGGCAGTAGAAAGTTAACTTGTGCTTCGCAACAAAACCCACGATGCAGAGCTGTAGGGAAGCTTTGCTCTGGGGTTGCGGCTCCTTCTGCTCAAGACACTAACTTGGACCCCTCGGAGGATCCCAAGAAGTAGAATCCCCAAATAGTTCCCTGTACTACTAGTGGGTCTTTCTTAGGAACCCTTGAAGGGATCTACTTTGTGGATCCTCCCAGGACTCCGGGAAGACAATATAAGAGACCATTCAAGATTCGCCTCCGCCGTGTCAGTACTACGTGCGCAGTCGCCCAACTCTGGTCTAGGGGTTTCAAAAATGCGAGGCTAAAGAATCCTGTGATGTCCCCAACTTTGCAGCCCCCAAAATCCAGCCCCGTGGGACGCAACGCCTGTCCAGGCTCCATCCCACAGTCAGCGCTTCCATTTGCGAGGCCGCAGCCTTTCAACCCCCCCCTGGGCCCCAAGCGTCTCCACAATCTCAGGGCTTGGGTTCGGCCGGTCCACACTAACAGTCACCACCAGCAGACCCACAAATAAAAGCACCCGGTAAATGCCAGAAAATTGACTGAGATTCCTGCTATTCCTGGTGCTATTTCTGGTGCATTTTTTGTGCTATTCCTGGTGCTATTTCTGGTGCTATTTTTTGTGCTATTGTTTGTGCTATTTCTGGTGCTATTTTTTGTGCTATTGTTTGTGCTATTTCTGGTGCTATTTCTGGTGCTGTTGCTGGTGCTATGTGACTAACAATCACCATCAGCAGACCCACAAAAAACAGCACCCGGTAAATGCTAAGCTGCTAAAATTGACTGGGATTCCTGGTGCTATTTCTGGTGCTATTGTTTGTGCTATTTCTGGTGCTATTTTTTGTGCTATTCCTGGCGCTATTTCTGGTGCTATTTTTTGTGCTATTGTTTGTGCTATTTCTGGTGCTATTTCTGCTGCTATGTGACTAACAGTCACCACCAGCAGACCCACAAAAAGAAGCACCCGGTAAATGCTAAAATTGACTGGGATTCCTGGTGCTATTTTTGGCCTGTGTGTTATAAGGCCACGGCGTTATTTGACTGTTAGTGTGGACCGGCCGAACCCAACTCAGGGCTATATAGTAGCGTAAGTAGTACTATTTGCTGTTTCAGTGCTGTCTCTCAGACGTTATAACCGTCTGCATGTAAACCGTTGGGCAGGTTAGACCCGCCAAGCCATCTTCGACCCCAATTCCCCCAGCGTCCGTAAAACTATGGCACATGCTGGGTAGCCAGTCACCCGTTAAGTGACTAAGTGCGACTCTCTACAACGACCCTTTGCGCCCGATATACCCTTGAGCAGGGCGACGTGTTGGGCCTTCCTTTGCCTCGGCTTTTGGAGCAACCGGAGGTCCGATGTGACGATTGCTTCAGGTGTTGTGGTTCCACGATGTTTGAGATGCGCTGTAGCCTGTGGATGCGTGTGGCTCGAGAGCAGATTTCGGGGCTCAAAGCAGCCTGACATCAAGGGCAGCCTCAACATGCGATTTCAGGGGTTTTTTCGCAGGTGCGACCAATGTAATGGAGTGCGATGGATGAGAATACGCTTGCCTGCAGGCTGGCTCGATCACGTGCCACCACCAGAATGTCGTCAACAGGACGACGGGTCGATTTGCTCCTATTGCTTTGCTGGAAGGGCCGTGTTTTTTCTTCTTGGGTCACCAGTCTATGAGTACTCAGCTCATCACCTGAAAACTGAACCTGTCGGCGCTTACCTTGACACGTGATGTGTAGACACCTGGTGGTGTCTAGGAGCGAAGTGTCAGAGCCAAAGGTCAGAAGAGCCGAGACCTAGGATGTCAGTAAGAATGAGGCCTGAGTTGCTAGGTGCAGGCCCAGCATGAGTCACCAGCACCACAGCGTGATCTCAATGCCTTCGGGCCTTCGAGCTGAACTAAGTTAGCGAACACCAGACCTCATCGATACATAAATGCATGCTACAGGTCATTGGAGACACAGCTTGGCATTGACATGCCTTCACCACTCTCAGCTCCGGTGTAAACCCACGCATAGCCCAGCTTTAGCCTGCTAGCATGTCCGTTGCCCTCCGCAGCCCTTTCCAAATCAAACGGGGACTCCCATGGCCGAAGCCGCGGCATGGAGCAGGGATGGCATCCTGTTTCAAATTGGTGCAGGCCTGTCTAGGCCCGAGTCTAGGCTCCCTGTTCACAAGCGAAAGTTGAAAGAGCCAGGGCTGTTTGCACAGAGAGTCCAGACCTCTACCTGCCACATTATCTGCCACCACCTGAAGAGACTGCTGCATGTTCAATGACAAGCTGGTACTGTACCTGTACCAGTGGTGGGAGCAGAGGGCAGGCGAGGGCGCACCGCCGTACGAAGATGCTTGCATGGTTGCTGTCGCTGTTTACCGCTGCAGCCCAGCAAACTCACGGCAGGTTACTGCCGTGGTGGTCTGTAAAGCCTTTGTGCATCATGGTCTTGTGCGACACTCCACCTGTTGCCCGCACTGAGGAGTGTGGATTCCACACCAGGGCACTTGATTGCCTCTTGCACAGCATGGAGCGACAGGGTGAGAGCAGCACGCGTTCTGAGTACAACATCCATCGATGCTGTCATTCACATAAGGAATGCCTCCATGACATCGCAAAGCGCCTTGCGGCGGAGCACGAACGTCAGGCATCGGAACCACAAGTGAGCTTTCACGTGGGCCTTGGGGCAGGTCTCATCTGAGGTCCGTTGATGTTATTTTGCGCATTCATGTCATCGCATGAGAGTGGTAGAGAGAGAGAGAGAGGGAGGAGGTTTGCATGCTAGAGCTCAGATGTTTACTGGAGTTGAGTAGATGTCTCAAGCCCGATCTTCTCACCGCAGCTTAGACTTCCGAACAAATGCCAGGGACAGGCCAGCCAAGGACCCTCGTAGGCAGTCTGAAGTTCAAAACAGAAACACAGACTACATACGCCCTGTGCTACAAGATGCAAGGTGACTCTAGGGCATTTCCACTTTCACTCCCCAAGGCGGCAGCGTTGAGGACCCTTCAGGAAGAGAACGACAGGCAACCACGATCGCAATAGGGTGTACAAAGAGAGGTGTCCCTTGAGTCGAAGAAGGCACGTAACCCTTTTATTCTGCAACCCCCCCCCCCCCTAATCAGCCCCAGGTGTTGTTGAGTTTGTTCGTTGCTTTCTGAGAGGCGTGGGAGGCCTGTAACATGCAGCACCATACTACATATTACTACATAGGCTCCCTGCAGCTTCATCCTTTTGAGATGCCTTAGAAAAAAGATGAGATCCTGGTGCTTTGGGCCGTCGAAAGTGGGGTTCTTTCTCGGATTTTTGGGGGCAGCTGAGGCTAAAGGAGGCCAATGTGCCCGTGGCTTCAATCGCTTCAATCAGTCCTGGGCGCCTTGGTGAACACTTTGTGAACACTCGGTGAACATTTGTTGCGTCATAAGGATGGTTTAAGGGCCACTTTGTATTGATGTTGGATCTAGCAGCAGCTGATGGCTTTTGCCATCCTGGCCGGACACGGGCGGGCGCAAGCCCCAAACCTGCATCTCCCGAGATACTCTCTCCGAAATCATGACGGGAACTCTTCGCCCATCTCCTTGCGAGCCTTGGCCGGGTGTAGTATGTTGTTCGTGGTTCGGGCTACTGCTCGGGCGCAGGATTGTTCTCTGACAGCGCGCCCTATCAGCTGCAACTAGTTGTTTGGTTGAGGACACTGCTGTTGAAAGTTTTAAAGTTCGACGTGCGAGCTTCGGACATCCAGCACGAAGGCTGCAACATCTAGGCATGCTTCAGGCTTCTGGCCCGAAATGGCAGGACCCTCCATCCAAACATGGCTTCTTGCTAGTCGGCAAAATAGACCTAGTTGTTGCTATCCGCTAACATGGTGGATGCCATGTGAATGCCTTGGTTTCTGGGTGGGTTTGACAAACTGGCAGAAGTTCATGATAGGGAGGGGGTGGGGGGGGGGGGTGGGGGGGGTTGGATGGGGTAAAAGAAGCCGCCCAAAGAGTCTTCTCGCTGCCCTGCTGAAGGCCACAGTCCAGGGAAGCTGAACCGGTCCGCGACCGTGGCCTCGGCACTCTCGAACACCTGGTCTTCTGCCCTTAGCAGTGCTGGCTTGAAGGCGGGGAGGGGGTAAGATAGGGTAACCCCCTATTACATGCCCAATCATGACCTGCAAGAGACAGACAAAATTGACTTTCAGACCAGGTGACCAGTGTCTGCACATGGTGCCCAGCATTGTGAAACAAATCGAATTTTGGGGAAGTGCCAGAAACTAAGGGCCGGACCGAGAATGTAGATCCGCCAAGCATCGCTCGTGCACCTTGGCATCGAAGCCGGCTATAGGCCCTGGCTTTGAGATCACAAGACGTGCAGCACTGTGACGACCTGCTCTTACGATGAGGTCGAGAGCTGTAAAACGGAAGGAGGGGGGTTGGAGGCAAGAGCGCATTGTCTCAATTCGAGGGACCCCTGATGGACCCCCTCTCCCAAAAGTAGGATCCGCTCCCTTCTAGTCAGGGCCCAATCTTTCGGAGAGCCCCCACATGAATCGAAAAGTTCTGCTTCATTTTCAGGGGCTGCTCCGAGATCATTTTTCATGGTGGTGGTGAGGGGAGGAAGAAAGGAGAAGGTTGCAAAATGGTTGGGGAAAGAAGTGTTATGGAATCGGTTAAGAGAGAGAGGCACATGATATGGAAGCACTGGCTTGGAAGCACCCAGATCCGGAAAGCCAAGGACGAGGACAACCTGCTAAACGAGAAGGTGGATGTGGATCAGCTCCGACCCTTTCGATCCAAGCCTGACCAGCAGCTATATAGGGGCATTTGTTCTTGATCTTTTTTTTGTTTGGGTCGTGTTGCGGCGCTTCTACCTAGGTAGGACAATTTCCTCAAGCTCTCTTCCGGTGCCTGTGAGCCCGTCCCTTCGATCCACCAACGCAAGGATCGTCTCACTCACATTCCGACCTGGCCGTGCCGAGTGGACAGTCGAAGTCAAACTTTGTGGAGGAAGAGAAGGTTCAGCTACTCGGAGATGTCAGGATCGTCCCTGGGAAGGCTGTGCAGGATACGCGGGGATGACTCTTTGTTTCCAAGCTTGCTCATAGTGAATATTTGAAACCAAGAGTGATTGGGTGGCAAAGAAAAGTTTGTTTTTTGCATATCTTCCGGTCTACTCTGTGACGGACCACAAGCCCCGCCCTCGTAAGGTTCATGATCATGAGGGCTGAGAGGACCAAGCGATTCAGCTCCACGAAGCCTGGGTACGTGTCGGCCCGAGTTGGGTAACTCCCTTCGGGGCATGATCCACATTTGCCTGGTTGGCACCAAGATGGGGAGTGGTCATGTGTTGGTCCATGTTGGTCCGATTTCTGAGACAAGGCTTTGAGTGTTTGATCGTCTTCAAATGCCGGTCAAGGCTGAGGGTACGAAGTTCTTCCTCTGCAGGGTCGCGGATAGCTATGTCTAGGTTTGCAGGATAACCTTTGCGCACTTCTGCTTTCGCAAGCATGTTTGCTTTCTCAACTAAAGCCGCCGTAAGCCGCCTATATACTTACAGCTCCTCTCCGCGAAAAGCGCGGTCCTTCCCAAACGAGCCAAGACCCGACCTTGCAAATGGGAGCTGCAGGTGATCAATCCCGACAGCGTCGCAGCAATCACTTGGCAGATAGTGACGAGAGCCTTGCCGCCAAAAGTTGGGATTAGTTCAATCAGCACAGATGAGTGTCAAGTTCTGGCCTACACACCCAACACCGGCAAAGAACCCACAGCACACCACCGACCGAAAGATAAGTCCCAGTGCAGCCTCTCGCTTAAATGCAGGAGGACTCGAGGACCTTTCTCCGAGATGAGCGCACCCAGCCTTGTGTGTGATTTCCCTGTGAAGGCTGCAGGTTCAGCCCAGTAGCGATTCAACATCCGGTGTAGGAGTATTGGACTTTGTCATCTCAAGGCCCACTAGCTACCAAAGCTCACTAATGCTAGCACGTGACGTGCCAACGGCAGAGCGCCCAGGCTGTTGCATGGCATATGTGGCCTTGATCACGCCCATCCAGGCCTTGTGTCATTGTTTCTGGTGTGCTTACCCCCGGAATTCCCAAGTATGGCGCCGTGGTGCAGGTTGGCATGTAACATACTCGGCAGTTTGACTTCCATAGCCCATGTCGATAAAACAAGAAGCGGCGCCTGCATCGTCCTGCATGGGTGAGTGTGCACTTGGCTGCCAGTCAAGCGAAAGCTACAAGTACTCGCTTGATCTCGCATCGCTCGGTTAGGCGACCACATTCAGGAACTGCATTCCCCCCAGAGTAGACCTCTTGATGTGTCGAAGTCGGCCTCGTTCTCATCGATCGGCGGCCGCATTGGAAACTGCGCTATCCCTTCGGGAGTTGCAAGTTATAAGTAACGGAGATAGATGGGGGTGGCACCCTCCGCCGCGACAATTGAATCGAACTAGAGCTTCCTGAGTTACTTGTTTTTCTAGCGTCTACATGGTGATTAGCTTTTGACACATGGACTAAAAATGTGCTTAAAACGCTGGCATCTGCAGCAAATCCGGCACTTTGACCCATTTTAGCTGTTTGTCTAAATTCCAGCGCCTACTCAGAGAATGCTTTGCCCTGATGT